ATCAGCAAAAGCTATAATTATGTTTTATTTCAAGAAAAGTACTATAATAATAACAATGATTGTATTATTTTTTTACACATAGATGTTAAGAATATGCTGTAACAACTAGTACATTCAACATCTTCACATATGTTAAAACTAAGAAAATATTTGGGTGCACCAATGCACTCACGGAAAAAAACTTGGGTGCACAGCTCCAAATTTGGGTGCACTAAAGTGCACATGCACGCGGTATTTTCAGCCCTGCTTCTATTATGCTTGCCACAGCATTGTGAGAGGAAGCTGTGTCAGGAAATCAAGCATTTAAGGGATATAACCTTAGATTTGCATACATTTTTCAGTCCTGTTCTGGGCTTTCTTCTTCTAGACTCAAGACATTTTGTTGCCAGAGAGTCTGGTATATTTTGTATTGATCATGACAGTGACAAAAATAAATGGCATAGTGACTAGTACATGAATGTATATAAAATATTGCAAGGCCTAAGCAACTTCTCCATTGACTGCTAGTATTACTATCTACTGCATTGATTTTAGATTGTATTCATTGATTTTTGATTCTGTGTCGTATAGAATATTATCTGATTCAGCAATTTTGGCATTGTTTTCACAGTTTAAAACATTGATTTTTCTAAATCAAATCGGGGTGCACATTACAACCAGCTTGAGTAAAAATTTCAATACTAAAATAACATTTGGCAATAAACAGTATATTAGGAGATAGTACAGTGTAGACCAAGTGTTAGGTTATGATTTGATACATTACCCCACTTTTATCTGCACTGAAAAAAGATGTTCAGGTTATATCGGTTATCTATGTGATGTTCCTTGTTGCTTGGATCCAACAGGATAACTGACATTCAGTCTGGTACAGTTAATCTCTGATGTGTAGATACAGATCTGGAGCAGAGAGCATTCATCAAACGTGATTTAAGTTCTGATGATTAGGCCACAAAATAATTAATAATTTAATTTCTTGGTTAATGGATTCGCCCGCTTCATTTTTTTCTGATTTGCAAATACATGTAAAAATAAAAATTCAGAATCAACTGCAAAATGCTCATATTTTGCCCTGAACAGTTGAAAACAGTCCTTTTCTTCCTAGTTGTTACAGTTATCCATCTTTCAATGCAGTGGTATCATTAAAAGTTCAAAATTCATTGTTTAAATTTTGAACCAGCCTGGTGTGTTGACTTCATGGCTCTTATCGTACCATTTTGGGCCATAATAGGATGCCTTGAGGCCTGTTTTTTTTTCGCCCGCCGCTCCATTATTTATCTAGAAAAATCTGTTAACCAAGAAATTAAATTGGTGTGGCCTAATTTAAGTTGTTGGTTTTTTACAAAGAAAATATGGTTCACTGGCAAGACATATCATCATAACGAACTTATATAAATTATACTGTTTAACAAAGTAAGGACATGCCTAAGGACAATAAACTTTCAATGTCAATGTTAGAAAACCAATTGTAAAACGTTTCATCACTTGTGTCAGATCATGGAGCTAGAAAAAGGCGATTAGCTTCAAAAATTTGCAGGGGTCCACACGAAAAAAGGCTAGGGTCAGCAGTTTTTTCAAGTTCAGTCAGGAAACAGGAAACACAACATTTTTCCCTAGGGTTGACAGTCTGTGTGTGTTATTTATGACTCCCATAATTATTGTACAATGTTTCATCACTCAGGTGTCAGATCATGGAGCTAGAAAAAAGGTGATTAGCTCCAAAAATTTGCAGGCGTCCACACAAAAAAAGGCTAGGCTTGTCAGTTTTTTCTAGGATTGGTCAGGAAACAGGAAACACAACATTTTTCCCTAGGGTTGACAGTCTGTGTGTGTTATTTATGGCGCCCATAATTATTGTGCAACGTTTTATAATGCAGGTGTCAGATCATGGAGCTAGAAAAAGTCGATTAGCTCCAAAAATTTGCAGGCGTCCACACAAAAAAAGGCTAGGCTTGGCAGTTTTTTCTAGGGTTGGTCGGGAAACAGGAAATACAACATTTTTTCCTAAGGCCTTAACCCTTGTCCTGCTGGCATTTTTTACACAATATTTTCAAATAATTTGATGTCTTAGTCACAGTCACAGACCCTTGACTTTTTTTGCTCTGTGGTGGCAGAGTTAATATGCAAAAAAAGGCTAGGGTCGGCAGTTTTTTCTAAATTAGGTTGGGAAACAGGATAACACAACATTTTTCCCTAGAGTTGACAGTCTGCGTGTGTTATTTATGGCACCCACGTTGGGTGAACACGTGCTAGCGGCAGATAGGCAGGCCTCGCATTAAGTGGCTTTGCAGTACGACAATGATGAATATTAACAGACAAGGTGGACAACCCTCCAAGTACTGACTCTCAGGTGTTGACTAAAGTGGAGCTGAACTGAAATTGCTGTAATGGTGTGTAGCCGCGTTGAGGTTGGATAGGGGTGCTAGACATACATGTAGTGTCACCAAGATGAAAACAAACCTATACAGTGGAAGAGTAATAAACTGGTGGATGTACCAACTACTGCTATATGTAATAACAGCTCAGATGAAATTGCTGTGATGGTGTGTAGCTGCATGTGTAGAGGAATGGATAAGGGCGCTAGACATACATGCAGTGCCACCAAAGTGAAGACAAACCTACAGTGGGTGTCACTGGAAGAATAATAAACTGGTGAATGTACTAAGTATCTACATGTAATAATAGATCATATGAAATTGCTATGGTGTGTAGCTGTGTGCAGGATGGATAAGGGTGCTAGTACAGTGTCACCTAAATAAAAATGAACCTACAGTGGGTGTTCCTATAAGAAAAAAATTGTCCAGACTAATAACTACCAACTACTGCTCAGGTACATTTACATGTACCATGCCCGTAGCCAGGATTTTGAATGGGGGGGTTCGTCCCATTGCTTGAGGGGACCTTGAGCGCCGAAGGCGCGAGGTTCCTAGGGGGGTCCGGGGGCATGCTCCCCCGGAAAATTTTGAAAAATGAACCTTCTAAAATGGCATTTCGTGCATTTTTGAGAGGATTTCCAAGAAAAAATCAGAGATAAATTTTGATTCAATGACAAAGGGAGTAGTTTTTCTACGATTCCAGTCCATCTTTTCAAGAAAAATCTTGGACCTGTACATAAAAAATATTATTAAAATGTGGACCAAAAAGTGGACCTTTACATAAAATGTGGACCAAAAAGTGGACCTAATAAATTACATAAAAAGTGGACCGAAAAGTGGACCTTTGAGCCTTGTGGGGGGGTTCTTCCGAACCCCCGAACCCCCCCTGGCTACGGGCATGTGTACACAAATATCTAATACCACCTCAGAAAATAAGACGAAACAGTCATGCCTACAAGTATTTGACATGGACAGCCCTTGAAGTACTGACTCTGGTGCTGCAAAGTGGAACTGAAGTGAAATTGCTGTAATGGTGTGTAGATGTGTATAGGATGGATAGGGGTGATAGTGTCACTAAAATAAAACAAACCTACAGTGGGTGTTCCTATAAGACAAAAAAAATGTACAGGCTATGCATTTGATTTGTATTCCATCTATTACTCACAGAGAGTGTTTCCTAAAAAAAAAAATTAACGCCAATAAAATGAAATAAAAGAAAGAAAACCTACATGCACTTGGAAAAGGCTAAACCAAGACACACTGAATATCCCTGCCCCAGCCATATGAGTGTCGGAATATGTCATTTGATTTACATTCTGTCTATATTACTCACAGGGAATGATTCCTCAAATAGCAATTGCTGATAAAATGAAACAAAAAGAAAAAATAAGATTTTTTAGAAATAACCAAGACCCACTGAATATCATTGCCCCAGCCCTACGAGTGTTGGAGTATGATTTGCATTCTGTCCATAACTCATACGGACTGATTCTGGATTATGCTTCACTTTTCCCTTCACACGTGTGATGGAGAGAGATTCCCGCTGGGGATGTGGAGAAAAGACCCAGCGTGGCTCCGTATGGCAGACGTGTTGCCAATTCTATACTTGTGGGCTAGGACAAGGCAGTCTGCTGGTTCTAGGGTTTAAAAAAATACTTGCTGGTCTCAGGCAGATCATAAAAGAACAAGGAACAGTCATGTCTTCAAATATCAGAGTCATCAACTAAAATTTGAGGTGTTCCATAACTCCAGTTTCCAAGAACTATCGTAGAGTGGAATTCGTTCCCACTATACAAGCTGACAGTAGGGGCATCATCACTAGAAAGCTTTAAACAACTCCTATAGCCTGCAATTAAATGTGCAAAGATTGTGTTGAACATGTTGTGTGGTGTGATATAGCTAGCTGCCGCCACGCCGCGTGCCTGCAAAGCTGGTGTGTTACAGTAAAGGGCGGTTATCAGGCTATACCAAAAATGAATACAATCATGTAAACCGTAACTCTCGCAAGATCACGTTGTGAAGTGATTGGTCATTAATTATCCTGATGCGACAGTGGTCGCTGAAAATTTGATCCCTGTAAATAGTGTGTTGGAATAAAGTTTAACGTTTTACAGTATAAAAATGAATACAGATACAGACCTAGCATGGCTCCGTATGGCAGACGTGCTGCCAATTCTATACTTGTGGGCTAGGACAAGGAAATCTGCTGGTTCTGGCTTTTATGTTTACCTTTGCAGAAGGAAAACATATTGTTTTTGCTCAGTTTCTTCTTCTTCCGTTCTTCCAAACAAATAAAGTTAATGACCTGGACCAGTCATCTGTCACCATGGTAACTCACCAGGTGCTGTAGCACACACTGTGATGTTAGATTATGTTGCAAGTTGTAAGACAGTTGGAGAGGCTGGTCACGCTAATAATTATGAGTACATGTTCCCAAATCATATCCAATTGCTTGAGTAACTGCTTTTTGGCGTATGAGTATATGTGTTTGTGTAAGAATAAAACAGAGCATTAATTTGTTAAGCTACATGTAGACCATATATGAAGGTATTACTAAGCATTATGCAATTACTTAGACATTTGTTTACTGCTGTTTGTTTATATTTGTTGTTGTTGTTTACCCCAGATGTGCCCGACCCCCCCGCCGGCAAACCGCGCGTCACAAACGTCACCTGTGATTCGCTGACGCTCTCGTGGCAGGAAGTGGGACGGAAACCCGCAGCGGGAATCACAGCTTACATCGTGGAGATATGGAAAGCAAGCGAAAGGTGAGATTTATTCATCTAAGGCCACACCAATTTAATTTCTTCATGGTTAACAGATTCGCCCGCTTCATTTTTTTCTGATTTGCAAATAAAAATAAAAATTCAGAATCAACTGCAAAATGCTCATATTTTGCCCTGAACAGTTGAAAACAATCCTTTTCATCCTAGTTGTTACAGTTATTCCATCTTTTAATGCAATTATCATGGTATCATTAAAAGTTAAAAATTCATTGTTTAAATTTTGAACCAGCCTGGTGTGTTGACTTCATGGCTCTTATCGTACCATTTTGGGCCATGATAGGATGCCTAGGCCTATTTTTATTTTTATCTTTTTTTCACCTACCCGCTCCATTATTTTTTTAGAAAAATCCGTTAACCAAGAAATTAAATTGGTGTGGCCTAATGAAGATTTACCACATTTGTGGAAGGATTGACATAACACCTCTTCAAGATGTCAAACCTGAGACCATACTGTAAGGTATAGTCTGAAACTACATGTAGCCTCTTGAAAGCAAGCGAAAGGTGAGATAGTCCTGTCCTGTCACTATTCATAACATGAGTTGGAGGAAGATCACTAGTCAGTAAGAAAGCTTTAAACAACTCCTGCAAAGTGCAAAAATGTACAAATATTGAGTGTAATAAGTCGTTCGGTGTGATATAGCTAGCTGCCGCCGTGCCGCGTGCCTGTGAAGCTGGTGTGTTACGCCGAAGACCAGCACGTTGGCAGAACATATTGCACCTCTGCAAAACCAGTAATGTATTGTGCATTAAGCACTTTGGCTGAACGTTTCATAGAAAGATTTTCACATATATATAAGGCCACACCAATTTAATTTGTTGGTTCTCGGATTCGCCTCTTCATTTTTTTCTGATTTGCAAAAAAAAAAAAAAGATTCTGGTTCTGAATAAACTCAAAAATGCTCATATATTGCCCCCAACAGTTGAGGAAATTCCTTTTCTTCCTAGTTGTTACAGTTTGCCCATCTATCATTGCAGTGGTTTGATTAAAAGTTTAAAATTTATACTTTAAATTTTGACCCAGCCTTTTCTGTTGACTTCATGGCTCATACTCGTAGCATTTGGGGCTATAATAGGATGCCTAGACCTGTTTTTATTTTTATTTTTTTTCGTCCCTGTCACTTCATATTTTTCTGAAAAAATCCGAGAACCAACAAATTAAATTGGTGTGGCCTAAATGTTGATAGTATTACCATATTTAGCCTACACAATGATCAGTTGACTATAGAGGGAACTGACGCCATCACTTCCAAAACTCTACCCTTTCTTTAATTGTTAGCTGTAAGTTACTACAAGCATG